TTCCTCTGGATTGAGTTATAAGAATCCTGCGTTGTACTAGGTGTAAAATCTAGGTAGGTAGGTATCCTGTCAATTTATCTTCTAAAAAATATCACTATTTAGAAAGCAAAATGGCATGTTTTTTAGTTGTCTGTTGCAGTTTTACTACAGATGTACCTACGTTGTGTAGCTAATAGTTGCCCCCCCACCTCCTGATCGGCACTGTATTAGCTGGCCAGAATGCTTTTCTAGACAGAACAATTTTCATAAGAGGCTCAGTAAGAGACCTCTGGAATGAAGGCTGATTAATTTTCCCCTTCCCCCAAGTAGTTGCACTGTGCTGTCTTTAAGTGGTTGCTATAAATAAATCACTTCTGTTTTCCCTTTGTCACTGAGAGCTATATTGTACTCTGAAACTGTTCATCTATTCTTCCTTTAATGTTCAGCTGCTTCTTGCTATACTCCCAGTGCTTAATATGCAGATGTTGTAATAAGATATTTGATGGCAAATACATTTGTTCGGTTGTGCTGAATAAATTGTGCACTTGAACTCTCACTTGAAATAAATTAAACCTCTGCAGCAGTGTCATTGTTTCTGGTGCCTGTCCCCAGGATTCAGCTGACACTTTACCTTCCAGGTGAGACCAATGGAAGCACAGGTGTGTGTCTCTGTATTTGTGATGCTCATCAGTACTGAGACTGTCACAAAGCCAATGCATATTTCAGGGCTCTTTCTATATTTTTGTAATTTTTTAAAAAACTGTTAGGATTTAAATCACTAGTGGCTGGCTCACCGCCTGATAGAGATGATTATCAGGAGAAGGGTGGCTGTCGTTTGGTCTGTGAGGGTTTTCTTGTTAATTCTTGCGGACAGTAACAGGGACCGATTTTTAATCCTCTTTTTACAAAATTTGAAAAGGTTTCAGTCTGGGGCAATTTGGTGGTTCTTCACTTGGGTGCACACTTCCTTTCAAAGGTACTGGCCACTAAGGTGGTGGTAAGTACAAGTTGTAGTCTGGCTGTTAAGGGAAAGTTTCCAGATATTTCCCTCTTCTGTTAAAATGTAAAGGGCAAAGCTTCCCTTGAAGGACCCCACAGTGATGCTTACCACTGTCAAATTTGGAAGCTGCACTAATGATTTGGTAGAGGTGGCCTTACTGCCTTTATAACCCAACCTCAGCTGGTATCTCTGCTGTATTTGAACTGTGACAGAGGTCCAGGTGGGTGCTTATGACAGACAGCCTGTCCTCTGAGCATTGCAGTCTTTCCAATTTTTTTTTTAATAAAGAAGAGTGTGTTTGAGCTTATCAAAACCTTTGGCAGCTTTCTAAAAGTAATGTCAAACAAAATTCTAGGTGTCCATTTGGATTTAGGATACTTGTAAATTGCCCAAGCATCTGCCTGGCGAAGTTCTAGCTGTATTTTCTTTGCAGGCAAAGATTTCCTTGACTGTAAAAATCAAGACTTTAGTATGAAAAACCCAAAAGGGTTAAAAAAACCAAACCATCCTTGTTTTAATGCCATGGTAGGAGGGCCATGGAATTCCTGTTCCCTGCTCTTCACAAGGTTTCTATTAGTTGGTAGCAGAGGGGACATGCTTTGGGTGGTGTCAATACAAATATACCTACTTGGGTTCTTCAGCCTCTTTAAAAGCAGTGAGTTGAAGTTAGTCTAGTCAATCTGATCCAGATGGATTCAGACACTCTTCTTTAACCTGTGGAAAGGGAAGTGCTGTGCCTTTAAGATGGAGCAGCATGCATGTCCACCTTGGCTGGGTTGGCTGTCAGCTGATCCTTTGCTGTTGTCCTTCTACTGTTCTGCACATCATGGGCTGCATTTACACCTTGCAGTGTTTCAGTGTGGGTATAGCTGAGAGTTTTGGGGCATTTTTAGTGAGCTCCACCTTGCACTGGACATGCCTGCATTGGGCAAATCCAGGCATAACCCTTGTTGAATGCTGTATGTAGGGCCTGCTGTGACAGGTCCCAGACTTCAGCTTGATGCCATCAGAGCGGGTGGGATGAGTAAGAAGCTAGAGCAAACCGACTTCAGTTTCTCTGCCTGACTGTGGGCAGCGATTCAAAGTGCTGTCTGAAGGTGTGGGTGTTGGATACTTGTCTTTTGCACCTGCTGTGGCAGGGTGGACTGGGTAGGATCTGCTTGTTCCTAGAACTAAATATTCAAAGCCCCTGATCAGTTGAATGACTCCCGTTTGGAAGTCACACTCCCTGACACATTGACATAGTTTTTATTTGCTGATTGGATATATCCCTAGTTTAGATAAATGAACTCACTCAGAACTTCATTGCTGAAGGCACTAGCTACAGGTGATCTTCCTGATGATGAGGAACCTTTCAAGTAGCTGTAGTGTTTGAAGTGGGCAGTATGCCATATTATCATGCTTCTGTTTTTTAAATGTAGAAGTACTTCTGTTCTTGGGGGTGTTGCCACTATTCAGGGTGCCTCAGGAACCTGCATGAGCTTTGTGGAGGTGGCTTGTGTTGCTTTTCATGGGGGTGGTACATAGCCTGTGAGTTTGTCAGCAGAATGTAGCATCTGTGACATACAGCTGCTGCTGCCCCTGGATTCAACTTGACATGAGGAGGGACCACCTGACCCCTAAAGTATCCGGTGTGGAAACATCTGTACTGTATGGCCCTTGTGAATATGCCAGACTTAAACTTTGTGGACTGTAGCAAAAAGAATATCAACTCTGAGTTCAACCCAGCAGCTTTTTATGAAAAGCTGTCTGACTTATGCTGGAAAGATAGAGAAAATATGTTGGTACAGTCATTTTTCTGCTTCTGTGAGTCAGCTTGTTCTAATGGGTTTTGAAGTGGATAGCTCATCATCATTTGAGGTTTTTAAGTGCAGGTTGTATGCAGTGTTAGCTCACTCAGATTTCTGCCTTGCCATGATTGACTGGCCTAAAGTTACATCATCAAAATAGGATAGCCTTAAAATAACAAGAAAACATGCTTTTAATGCTAATTACCCATAGAAAAGCAATGTTTTGGGTTTGGGTTTTTTACTTTTAAACAGAAAATAGCAGCTTTGTATGGTTGGCTGTATCTCATCTCTGCAAGAACACATTTTTGTTGACTAAATCAATGCATCAGTGAGCAACATGTGGCTCTTAGGCTACCTGCAGCACAGGAGTGGTTTGAGTGTGGCTCCCATGCCAAGGCTGTGCAATGTGACCTGGAGTGGGGGCTGTGTTGGCCTGGGGCCTGTTGGTAATCCCAATTATCTGCGCAAGTGGGAGGAAACAAATTAGTGGAGGTTGGCATGGCTGGTACCACCTGCTACCCAGCTGCATCCCAAGCCTGTGGTGTAGCACTGTGACCTCTATGGAGCAGTTGTTATATGTATTCTTTAAACCTTTCCCCTCCTTTCCTGCTCCTTGTGCAAAACTGGTTTTGTGATGCTTGCCTGTATGAGAATAGTTTGGTTGGCAGGGGCTGGAAGAATGGTTAGCCCTTACTAGCAGTTAGGCGACAGCAGCAAGCCATGCTGCTGTCAGTGTCCTAGTGCTGTGGCTTCTTCCTGCTGCCCCAGTCTCCAGCTTCTCTATATAGTCACACTTGTGGTTTGCACTGCTTATTGATTGTTTAGCTTAACTGTTGGGCTGGACCTCTCAGCCTTGGGAGCCATTCTGTAGCTGATATCAGTGACTCTCAGCAGCACAATTTTTTTATATTTAATTACTTTTTAAAATATGTTTTGTGTGTATACACATATATGTGTGTATATATATCTTCATAATGCACTAAACAGTTTGGGGTTCAAAATTGTGAGCTGGTGTAAAGTCTTGTTGCAGTTGCACATCTGCATACACCTGGCATCAAATATAGAGATGACCAGATAAATCAATGCAGTGTTGATGAGAAATGCATTCATAGTAGTGTGTGTAAGAAGAGGTGGAAGCAACTCTTCTTGCTTAGAAAAAGTACATGCAGGAGAACTTAGACATGGCATCAGGCCATAAAGAACTAAGTTTTCAGTGCTGTGATCTTGGTGTTAGAGTAAAATCTTGTCTGTTAGTGTAAATTGAGAAATTGAAGTCTGCAATTGCTTAATCACTTGGCTACCTTGTTGAGTTAGATAAACTTCTCTGAAGTTCTTTTATTGGCAGTAATGCAGATAAATAATGCAAATAGTGTTTGTTCTAGAAGAAAGATACCGTTTTGAAAGAGAAGGAAAGAAGAGTAAGTTCTCTAGCAAAGATCTATTTGTGCTTTTAAAACTTGGTTTATTCTGAATGAAATTTTTAAGCTTGCATAACTAAAACCGTTGAAACTGAAACTTCAAAGTAAACTTGTTCTTAACCTCATTGAGGAGGGAAAAGCAGTTCAAGATATAAACACAATTAAAATGACTAAATCAAAACTGGTTTAATGCATATTGGAACATCTTGCTTTTGCTGAACTTAACCACAGCACTGTGTCCTTGCCTTCTTGAGACTACCAAACACGAAGAGAGGCTTTTACTGCACTGTTGGAGTAAAATAACTGAAATCCTCTCAGGGTAGCTTACTTAATTTTTTTTTTTTTTTAAATGATTTGGATGTAGAACTTCCATGTGGCTTCACTACGTCTTAGTTTACCTGTACAGTCTGTGCCTGTGTAGCATATGAGCACGTCAAAGCTCTTTGCACATCTAAAACTTGAACCATGCAGGATTGCTATAAAGTTATTATCTAAGGTTTGCCTTTCCTGATGAATGTTTAAAAACAAAAAACAAAAAACAAAAAAACAAACAAAAAAAAAATCATGCACACCACCCCCCCATACCCCTTCCACCTGTCCAGAAAACAACAAAAACATCCCCCCACTTGGTAAAGACTGCAGCAGCTTTTCTTTTTCCAGCTGTAGCAAAAACAATTCCTGTTCTTTTTTGCCCATTTTTAATGCCATAGACTGTCCCAGCATAAACTGTTCTTTACTCTTTACTCTCCATGAAACAGCAATCCTTCTCCAGCTGTTTACATCGCAATAGCAGATTTTCTTTTATTTTTCTAGCAATCAGAGATGGATTGTGGTGTTCATCTTAAGAAAACAAAACCTCAGGATTCTGATAGGAACCATGCACAGCAAGAGGAGGAGACCAGTCTCGCAAATACCTTGGAGCATATTATGGGACAGCTGGATGTTCTAACTCAGGTATGACTTGCTCTTTAATTTTGCAATGAAAGACATACCTCTGACTGGAAGAACTGGGAATATTTTGCCATGGTTTCATAGAATAAAAACGTGGCTAGTTCAAAACCTCTGCTTTTTTTAGTAATTTTTTGATAAATCTGTCTTCATCTGTTTGTCAGTTTATATCTATCAGTTCCCTCACATCAGTTTCCAGCTCAGGCCCTGCTCTTCCCCTAATTCCTTTATGCTGCAGTGTAGCAGAGCAATACCTGAGCCAGCTCTAGTACCCTGTGCTATTAGCCAAGGTTTATCTAAGGTGATGCTTAAAGGAGTGGTTGGCAGTAGGACTCTGTTTTGGTGAATAATCTGTGTCTCTTCCCTCCTCCATTATACTGCAGTCTATAGATAAACTCTGTTCTGATCCTGCTCCTTTCCCCCACCCAACATTCACCTACACAGTCCAATTTCTGCAGTATTCTCCTCCCATCAACAAGTCTGGGCCCTTCTGTGCCTCATCTCTGAAACATGCTTTTCACCCACAGCTAGCAAACAACTAATCCCTTGCTAAAGCATTAACATACAGCTCTTCCTCAGAGTCTCTAAGCAATGCTTGAACAGTACCAGCTGTTAATGGTGATCATGATAGTATGTGTTTACTTAGTAAGAATCAGGGGATATAGCTATTTTTTGTTCAAGTAAATAGCTGCTCATTGCTCCTGTGAAGAAGTTCCATTTCTGTTCATTGTCTGGGGCTGAATTTCATTGTGTGTTTTTGAGGTATATGAGAAGCAGGGAGAAAGCATGGGATAGTAAACACTGGTGATGGGAGCATGATCGTAGGATGGAAAAATCTGTGTGGGAGGGTTTTTCTGTGAGTTTGGTAGTTTTGGAGAAGGAACAAGCAGGTCTTAAACACTTGTTATTAAACTTACTGATTACTGGTCTGAGTTTGCTCTCTGCTCTTTCTTGTCAAAAATTGTAAGTTGATGGGTTGGAGGGCCCATCAGGGGCTTAAAGTAGGGCTGATTTGGGATTAAAAAACATTACAGGACTACAGACAGTCTAAAATAGTGTAGGGTGAAAACCAAAAGGTATTTAAGTTCATTTGGCAGAAATGCAAGAAAGCACTTTTCCTGTGATCTCTAAAATGCTGAATGATGGAGGAGAAATCTTATATGGCATTGGGACCTCATGCTTGTGAGTAAAATGCAACCCAGTTATACACAAAATATTTTATTACTGTTTTTACATCCCCCTAGTAAGTTTGGAATGTGATCATTATCTTTTATTACATAAATCAGATCCACACTTCTGATGATGGATGTGTAATGGCTCCTTTTCAACTTCATAGGTGTTTAGAGGAGACAAATATTGCAGTAAACAGTATGTGTAGGATTTAAACTAGATATAAGCAATGCAAACATCTCTCAAATATTGTGTAACCATAGAAAATTCCAAATGTTGTTTTAAACCTAGCAGAAAGAGAAACTGAGATCAGTGGGGGAGGAATAAATTAGTAGGTTATAGGATAAAATTGGATATAGGCCTGGAATAGTAAAAAACCAAAAAGCTGCCTTGGGTAACTCTGCATTCAGTGATCTTTTACCTTTTTTGTAGCACTTTTTCCATCCTTGAAGTACTTCATTTACCATTGGTTCTAAGCTTTTTACATTACATTTTGTATTAACACCGTTTTAATGCGTTTGTACAAGTATATGTTCCTGACACTGTTGAAATGGTTTAATAATTCTTCATTTTCATGCCAAGGTTTTGAATATTTAGCAGTGAAACAAACCAACACCAAACAAACTTAAGCAAATGAGCCTGAAAGACTTACTCATTCCTAGAGTAAAGGAGGAGGTTTCTCAAAGAGGAGGGATGCAGGCAGGTAGCAAGGCAGAGCTGCAGAGGTAATTCTGGAGGGCATCTGCTTGCATAGCTAAACTTTGGGTTTTCCAGTGCTGATGGCCTGTAACAGAGAAGGGAATGGAGTTCCAGTAGAGCCACTGTTACCCATGTTTTGTGCAATTAGATATTGGCAGGATGATGTGCTGATTGCTGGAAGAGATCCAAGTGAGATGGAAACAGTGGCTGGTGGTGTTGGGTTTCTTACCTTTCCTAGCCGTTCTGCAAAAGCACAGCTGGGTGCTGCTCCCTGTGTATAGCAGATTCAAACCAGGGTTGTGTGGGTTTTATATGGCAGATTTGGGCCTGCTGACTTTTTCTGAAAGGAGGACCCCACTACTTCTTAAAAAATAGAGCAAAAAAACTTTAATAAATAACATATAATAACATTACTGACATAATAGTATGTCAGTATTTTTTCCTTCTTGAAGGACTGAGGATGCTCCTGGTGCTCTGTTACAAATCATTGGTCCATAATTCCTGAGGGATGCTTGTTTAAAAGGAACACTGATGGCATAAGCAGGGCCATATGGTTGAAAGGAAAGGACAGAGTTCCTGTGATATTTCCAGAAACCCTCTGTTGATAGAGCTGTCCATGGATTTTTCAGGAATATATAATTTGTTAGTTCCCTGGGAACTTGGGTATATTTCTGATGTGGTACCTTGTGTTCCTGCGCATTTTGTTCTTGTTGTGGTTTCCAACACTGTTAACATGATGTAATGCACCAGTAGGGGAAGCTTAAAGCTGTGATAAACTACTTAAATTTATAGTTGCATAATTTCCCAAATTTATTTTCCTAATATTTTTACCATAGCTATCACTTGAAGGTTTATCATGCTAAACCTGATATGCAAAAGTGGGAAGGAGCGAGAATACTTTCAATTTCTGCTGAAAGAGGTAATAGTAAGTCATCAGCTGAAGGCTGTCATCTCTTGCCAGCGCACAGCTTTGTTCTGAGCTGCACACTTGAAGCTGCGTTGTCTGCCAATCACCAATTATCAGTACCTTCCCTGCATTGACAATAGATTTCCAGATGAAGTGGGGTGTCACGTATTTGGAGACAGCAAGGTTGTTTTTATTCCATTAAGAGGTCTCTTCCTGCCAGACACCAATTGCAAGTAGAAGTGCTGAGGCTGTAAAAGCATTGTGCCCTGTGCAGGATACACTTGAGCAGACTTGCTCCTTCAGTTAGGCACTTCAGTTCTTCTTAGAGAAAGATGGATCAGAGGAAATTTGTGGCTGTTGTATACCACATCTAGCAGTAACCATCATAGTGAATAGATATGGCCCTCTCAGATTTACAAAGCTTCATTTTTATGTTGTTGACTTTGTGCTATGATTTTTTTTCTTCGTGGTTTTGGCAACTTTTTTTTTAAACTGGTCTTTGATTCAATTATCCTTCCTTTCTTCCTCTTCACCAGAACATTCTCAGGACATCTTTTGTTTTACTTGTAAGAAAGTGGTCTAATGTGACCTGACAGGGTGGTCTGGGTTTTTTTTCTAAACATAGTTTCTGTCTGTCCATACTTCACATGCAAATAAAGAAGTTAATGTTTGACTGCCTTTTTCAGAAGAGTAATGTGTGCTTAATTCTGCTGCCTTGAGGGATGGAGTGAAGTTGAGACCCAGACATAAGCCAGTTGTTTCCAGTAGTTTGGGGTTACTTAGATACCCTGGTACCCCTTTGTAGGAAAGTAGGCAATTCAAAACTGGCAAAGGAATTAGGAAGATAAGGGTAATAAATGTATGATACAGATGCTTTGCTACTCCCTTTCTTGCAGCTTAGTATCTTATCAGTCTCTCTGTTTAAACATCCAGTTCTTTACTGACATTTCAGAGATGTGAAAAGGAGGAAAACGTGGAATGTTTGTGTTTATTTCTTTTAATCGAAGGCTGGATTTCAGTATCTTGGTGCCTATATGAAGAGGTGGGTTGAATATTAAAGTTTAAGGGGGAAACAAAGTGATTTAATCTCTTGGGTAACTTCCTGGAACAGAAAAGTGTGTTGGCTGAAACAAAAATGGAGCAGAAACTAAGAGCTTACTTGGTTCAAATGCATTTTCTGTGTTTGCAGCTGAACTGCACTTCTGAAAGAAGGTCATCTGTGAGTAACCATTTTGGCTGCAGTGGAAAACTTGCATTTACAATGATCATATTCAAGGAGTTTGTATACTCTTGCCCTCCCTCCAAACACCTGCAGCTGCTGTGCTCACTCTGTCAATCTGTAGCACTTGTGGGCAATGGGCACTGAGGCAAAAGCTGCTGGTTTTATGTGGGAAGGAAGATGTCTGCTCTTAATGAAGAGTTCAGAATCAGATTAGCATCAAAATTCATAAATAACTGTGATAATCCACCCACAGGAAACAGTTTTATATACTTCCCCAAATTAATCTTGCACTGAAGCTGGAATGAAACAACACAGTGAAATAGAGAAGACTTGTAAAATAATCCAAGCCTGAATTGAAGGACAATCTAGCTCATGTGAGATTAAAGGTTTATTTCGCTCTATAGAAGATTGTAGAGGGAGGGAGGAGAAGAATTTTTTAAATTAAATTCTTTAGCCTTAAAAGACTTGGACACAAGTTACTTGATTTTTAATTAAAATTGGAAATGTTTGTGTCCAGTGCTTGTAATGAAAACAACTAAAATCAAATTTGTTATTCCTTTTCTTTGTGATGTGGTCTCCAAAGCCTGTGTTGGTGAGGAATGAATGTGGCTTCTCTTCTGAGAGGTATTGAATGTAGATTAACAACTGGTTTAGTAAAATAAATGCTTTTATGACTTGAAGTAGTTACAGGTCAAGAATAAAGATTGGAGGGGGAGGACAAATCTGCCCTGGACAAATATCTTGGTTTCTATGTTGCTTTCATTGACCTGAACAATCACTGCCTAGTGGACCCAATGCACAGAAAAACTGAAAGCAGTTTTTATTCCAAAAGAAATGGTTTGAAATCCAAATCACTAATAAAAAATTTCCATCTGAAAAATCTGTGAAATGCCAGAGGAGCTTAGTTTTTTAAATTGCAGAATCACAGAATGGTTTGGTTTAGAAGGGACCTTAAAGCTCATCCAGTCCCACCCCCCTCCAATCTTTGTTCTTGACCTGTAACAATGC